TTTGAACACCGGAGAATATTGAATATTTAACACACGTTGTCAAATGATAGAGAGTCTTTAGAATAGATTCTACAACTTCTAATTACTTTATATCAATAAAAATATTTTAAAATCGTTTATTATTATCATAAAAGTATTTTTATTTTTATTATATGTTTAATAATAAAATTATAATTCAATATTAAACCAAATTATGAAGTATTTTAATGTTAAAAGTATTGAGTCATCTCAATACCAAAGATAAGAGATTGTTATTTTTCCTTATAATTTCATAATTTCAAAATGTGTGTGCGTTGTAGATTATTGAGAATAGTTTAGAATAAATATTATTTTATAATCATTAAGATTATTTTAAAAATAAAATTATAAATTAAATTAAATTAAAAATTATTTCATAATAAATTTGTATAATATTTAATCTAAATTAATTTATTATTTTTATTAAATTAAAATGATTAAAAGATAGTATATGTTTTGAATACTCTTAACCATATGATTATAAACACTCAATAGTCCTACTGAAGTCGTTGATACTCAAATTCATAATCTCTAAAAATAACAATAATTTATTTAAGTAGGTCAATTTACTGGTGTTTTTCCCGAAAAATTACCGGTGATCGGTATATTTACCGATCTAACACCGGTCAGATTATATTTCCCGATCTAACACCCGTAGCAGTAAAGCGCGCCCCCTGCCCCGCGCTATATGTTGATTTGGTGCCACGTGGGGTATAGAGCGCCCCCTGTACCACGCTATACGCTGACATGGGTTACACGTGTGTATAGCGTGCCCCTTGATCCGCGCTATACGCCACGTAGGGGTATAGCGCGGATCAGGGGCCGCGCTATATGCCATGTACAAGAATTATATTTAACGCGATCCCTGGTCCGCGCTATATCTGAATAATTATATATAGAGCGGTGCAGGTACCGCGCCTTATATAGTTATAAATACCCTCCGCCTCCGGTTAAATTTCTCACATCTCCTGACATCTCTCCTCTCAACTTATAAATTAATACAACAATTTCGTCAACGAGTAATAATTCAGACAATCTTCTCATATTTAATTTAGAAGTTCGTGCTATTTTTCGTTATAAGGTAATTTTATTATCATTTTTTAATTATACTTATTGTTTATTATCATTATTTGAAAAAAATATTATACTAATTATTTTCAATTAATTTTTATGTTTGTAAAATTGAAAAGCGGGAGCATACGTCGAAATAGTTTTGCGGTGCAGGTAATAATATAATATTATATTATTTAAATTATTTACGTTAATGTGTAAAAAATTTATTGTGTTATATTTTCGTTTATATATAATTTATTTAATCAGGTTTGTTTTAGTTATTTTTTTTGCAGATATAATATTGTCGCACTTTTAAACTCAAAGAATGGCGCGACTTTCAGTTATTGTTTATTATGATGGTGAAATTCGAGAAGATGAAATCGGCGTTGTTTTCATATCAAATGAGCGTGTTAAAATATCATTCAAGAGAAACATAACTCTTGAGGAGCTGATAACGAAGATTTCAAGGAAGATTCATGTTGGAAGTAGTAGAAGAATGTCGTCGTTGCAGTATAGATTTCCAACATCATTGTTGCAATTAACTTATACAGCGTTCGAACTTTCGAACAATGATGATGTTCAAATGATTGTTGAAGCTCAAAGTAATTATTCAGAAACCGCTATTGAGATGTATGCACATTTTGTTCAAGTGCGTGCTGTTCGGGGTCAATCGTTAAGCTCCCACTATGGGCTGATTAAACAAGTTGATCAAATTGACAGCCCGACTACAATAATGTGTAATGATTTTAATGTCATAATGGGGAGACATTCATCCGTAATTCCTTACGATATGTACCGAGGTAGGTCCACGAATACCGGAGACTATTGAATATTTAACACATATTGTCAAATGATCGAGAATCTTTAGAATAGATTCTACAACTTGTAATTACTTTATATCAATAAAAATATTTTAAAATCGTTTATTATTATCATAAAAGTATTATTATTTTTATTATATGTTTAATAATAAAATTATAATTCAATATTAAACCAAATTATGAAGTATTTTAATGTTAAAAGTATTGAGTCATCTCAATACCAAAGAGAAGAGATTGTTATTTTTCCTTATAATTTCATAATTTCAAAATGTGTGCGCGTCGTAGATTATTGAGAATAGTTTAGAATAAATATTATTTTATAATCATTAAGATTATAAATTAAAGTAAATTAAATTAAAAATTTATTTCATAATAAATTTGTATAATATTTAATCTAAATTAATTTATTATTTTTATTAAATTAAAATAATTAAAAGATAATATATATTTTGAATACTCTTAATCATATGATTATAAACACTCAATAATCCTATTATACTCGTTGTTGATATTCAAATTCATAATCTCTAAAAGTAATAATAATTTATTTAAGTAAGTAGGTTAATTTACTCGTGCAATGATTATATAAAAGAAAATATAAAAGAAATTAAAGTATAAAATGAAAAAAATTGCATTATTATTATGGCCTCCGTTGTTCCTTATCTCTTCTTCCCTCTTTCCTCTATTAGGTCTCCATTCCACCCATTTTTATCTCAATTTTATTTCTTTATTTAAATTGGAAGAAAAAGCTAAAATTCAAGAATAATCGTAATCCAGATTTCAATTCCATACCATGACCAAATTCTAGCCTTGGATTTTCGTTCCATACTCTCCAAAAACCAAAAATGAAGAGAGATCATCAGGATATCTGTGGAGCCGGCGGCGGCGATTATGGAAGTAGCAGTGGCTCAAAGGGTGAGAGCTCCATCACTAACAAAGGGAAACTATGGGAAGAAGATCAAGATGCCGGCGACATGGACGAGTTAATGGCCGTTCTGGGTTACAACGTTCGGTCTTCAGACATGGCGGATGTGGCTCAAAAAATGGAACAGTTGGAGATGGCTATGGGAACTGCTCAAGAAGATGGGATTTCACATCTTGCTTCTGATACTGTTCATTACAATCCTTCGGATCTTTCGAGTTGGGTTCAAAGCATGTTGACTGAGTTGAACAATCCTGTTCTCCCCAATTCGGATTCCAATTCTCCAAAGCCACAGCAACATCAACAAATTGTTAGCAGCAACCAATCCCAGGTTTATAACGATGATTCCGAGTACGATCTGAGGGCAATTCCCGGGGTTGCTGCTTACCCACAACCAAAACGGATCAAAACCTCCTTGAGAACTGACTCATCATCTTCACCAACTGAGTCATCGACTCGACCTGTTGTCTTGGTTGACTCACAGGAAGCTGGGGTTCGACTGGTTCACACCTTGATGGCTTGTGCCGAAGCTGTCCAACAAGAGAATCTCAAGCTGGCTGATGCTTTAGTCAAACATATAGGCTTACTTGCCGCGTCTCAAGCTGGTGCCATGCGGAAAGTGGCTACCTATTTTGCTGAAGCCTTAGCTCGTCGAATCTACGGCGTTTACCCACAAGACTCGCTTCATCCTTCCTACACTGATATGCTGCAGATGCACTTTTACGAAACTTGCCCTTACTTGAAATTCGCTCATTTACAGCCAATCAAGCTATTCTCGAAGCTTTTGCAACGTCAAACAGAGTACACGTTATTGATTTCGGGTTAAAACAGGGGATGCAATGGCCGGCTTTAATGCAAGAGCTTGCATTAAGGCCAGGTGGGCCGCCGGTTTTTCGATTGACGGGTATTGGCCCGCGGCAACCGGATAATACCAATGCTTTGCAGCAAGTGGGATGTAAGTTAGCGCAGTTAGCTGAAACTATTGGCGTCAAATTTGAGTTCAGGGGATTCATGGTCAATAGTTTGGCAGACCTCGAGCCCAAAATGCTTGATATCCGACCTCCTGAGGTCGAGACGCTGGCCGTGAATTCCATATTTGAACTTCACCGGCTTCTTGCTCGACCTGGAGGGATAGAAAAGGTTCTTTCGTCGATCAAAGCCATGAAGCCCAAAATTATCACGATTGTAGAAGAAGAAGCGAATCATAACAGTCCTGTTTTCGTAGACCGCTTCACTGAAGCTCTACATTACTATTCTAGCCTTTTTGACTCGTTAGAAGGCTCAGGAGTGGCGCCGCCATCAAGTCAGGACATGGTTATGTCGGAGTTGTATCTGGGAAGACAGATTTGTAATGTGGTTGCTTGTGAAGGGGTAGAGCGAGTTGAACGACATGAGACACTGGCTCAGTGGAGGTCTCGGATGAAAACACCCGGATTCAGCCCAGTTCGCTTGGGTTCAAATGCTTACAAGCAAGCCAGCATGCTGTTGGCTCTGTTTGCTGGCGGTGATGGGTACAGAGTGGAGGAGAATGATGGGTGTTTAACACTCGGGTGGCATACAAGGCCGCTTATTGCCACCTCAGCTTGGCAACTCGCTGCCACCGAGTGAGGACTGTGAGTTGACTGAAGAAGTTGAAGAGAATGGAGATGTTTTAACCGAGTTTCATGCAATCTGATGGAATTGATGAGACGAGATGCGCCCTAATTAAAAAGACAACTCCAAGTGTGTAACTGCAATTCTATCTTTCTGCTTTTCTAATGTAGGGTAGTGTTTTTCTAATGGAAGACTGTAATTTTCAAGGATGGATCATATGGAATGGCATATATTGTTTTTCATTTCTTTAGTAGTAAAAGTATACAAGTATAAAATTATTGTGTCTCATAGCCAAGATTCAAAGAATAAAGAATAACGTCTGTATGAATTTGGTTACATTTGGTGGCCTGGGAAGTAGGAACCATTGTCGAAGCATATTTCTCTGTAACCATGTGGCAACAACAATTGCACAGGTTGCTCAAGTTTTCCCACTAACCATATTGCAAGAGGTTTCTTCAATCTTCCCTAACTCAACCAGTGTCTACAAACACAACAAAATAGGCATGCAAACAAGATAGTTTCAGCACTATTATCTGGAAATTCTTATCGGATTGGATATCACATGCAAAAGCAAAAGCATAACCGTTAAACTGATTATAATCACTTGTATTCACAAAATGTTTATACAAGTATCTAAGCATTTAGTGACCTAGTTCGCAACTAAATGATTATCATTCTCAAAATATCTGGCCAGTGGCACAATCCAGTATCAAGCAATAAGCAGTACATCTCCGTATCAGGCATAATCCCAACTTTCTCCTCCATAGCCTTCCAAATCAACTCAGCGCCCCTAACATTACCGACTTTCTGAAAATCGCAGAGTGCATCCCTAAAAAAACTTCATCCCTGGATAACACTTCTTCTCTAGTAGTACATCGACATGCCTCGAAGCCTCACTAATCCCATCCTTTCCTTTAATCAAAGTATTCAAAAACGAATCATAAGCCGGTACATTCCCGGGATACCACCCTACTTCCGCAATCATCTCATCAAAAACTAGCATTCCCTTCATTTTCCCACCCTTCTAGCAAGATGGCGTAACTATCCAAAGCCGGCTTAATCCTGCTTTTAGCCACTCTTAGAAACTCCAAGCCATCAATGGTTTTACCCTCCCTACAAATAGCACTAATCAAAGTATTATAGGCAACAATATACGTAACGCAACCGTACTCATCCATAACTTCGAAAGTCGAAACAGCTTCCTTAACTTTATCAAATCTAACATAACTACTAAACACAGAAGCAAAAGTAGCCCAAGAAACTAACCCTACGTTTAAAAGTAAACCCAAACTCCGTGAAATCAAAGTCTTATAATTGGATCTCATTGTTAATCATAAAATTGGCTTGGAATTAAGTTATGTCGCTTCTTATGATTTTTATTGTTAATTGCTTATTCAGATCTTATAACAAATCATCATAGCTTGAGATCCTTTATAATCTTATTGCGATAAAACTTATTTTGTATGTCTCAAATATCACTAACAAATTTTGTAGTATTTTTTTTTTTAAATTGAACAACCCAGCCATGACTTGTGATGGCTCTTACTAAGAATTTGTAAGTGAAAAAAAAGTGAGATCAACAAAGAATTTAATGCAAGTTAAAAACGAGATTTAATGCAGTTTGATATTGTATCTCTACATATGAGAGACCATAATCTAATACAAATGTACATATCATAAATAGCACAAATCCATGAAATTCTCTTATACCCTAAGCTTTATATATACATTCTAAAATTTAATGCATCACAAACTACTATTTTAAGATTTCTACAAACTCTACAATATAATCTTAAAAGTTATAATGATCGTTAAAAAATATTGTATCTCTCTAAAATAAGTTTGCCTTAAAATTTTAAATGTTAAAGCATGCCTTACATTATAGAGAAAAGAATTTAATAAACTTAATCATCAAATAATATATAAAATATTCTTAAGATTTTGACTTAAGTTCTTTATTACATAAGTATTTCTATCTAATTAAACTTAATCATCAAATAATATTCAACAACTCAAATTCTTACCTCATCAAATAAATTTTAATCAATAAAACTAAAAAAATAATTTAATCGTTAATTAAAATTTGAATCAATATGAAGCGTCTTTATCCATAAGTTGGGTCTTAAAGCTCAAGGATCCTAAGCCCCTTTCTTAGGTATTTAGTCGAACCCGGCTTCTTAGTCTACCGGTCCAACCATTAACCATTGATCTGCTCATTTCCTCTCGTTTCATAAGTGTTCCAAGCGAACTTCGACAAAGTTTATGCCATAATCATTACCTAAGTTGTATTGCGCCAAAATTATTTCAGAAACAGAAATATACAGTTATGTTCCAGAAAGGACGTAATCTATTTATTTTTCTTTATATGTTAGCCAAAACTCTATTTTGAAGTAAAATGTTTATTGAATATTAACCTACTTTTTGTGTTTTTCCTTTGCGAAACGCTACTGAAATGAGAAATTTTACTTATTTAGTATGGTTTTAGTGTTTTTCTTCTTCAATTTGTCAAAATATCTTGTCCATGGCATATGGGATTACCTTCGTCCAAGTCACCTTCATAACCAAAGGGGCATTCGCATACTCTTTCATAGGATTCATGTCTCCTTCATGTTTAATCAAATTCTATGTCCAAAATCCTTTTGAGGACTCGACAAATTTGTATTTTTTTTTTGCTCGGCAAAGCAAAGTTGTAATTTATTAGATTAAGGGATGAAGAAAAAAATATGAGGTGCATGGCTTGATGCATGAAGTTCTCTCAGTTATAATTGACCCTTTATGATTTCTTTGCAACTTCATCTTGCTGGATTATGTTGACACAATCATTGATGAAATGTTGAATGTGTTCCTGATGAATTGCTTAATGAAACGATACGTATTTTTCAATAAACCCTAAAACTTGCAGTTCAGTAACAACACTACACATGAATGTAAGTGATTAAACTTCTGCAAAATCAAGAGAAACATTATAAGGAAATTATATATTATTGTGAATAATATAAGGTTTATCTGATTTAACATGAGGATTTTTTGTGTCTGAAACGCCAGTTGAAAGGTAGGAGAAAGCTCTCTAAAGCCCTAACCGATATGATCACATCTTTTGCTATTTACAATTGGAAAACAAGAAGAAAGAAAGAAGCCTAAATTTGCTGCAAAAATACTCTCAGATACTGGAAGAGATGGATGAATCCTTCATCAGCTCCAAGTTTGCAGCAAATACTTGTTTAATCATGCCAGCAAAGAAGCATAACAACACATCTTCTGATGATATACAGCCTTCCTTTTTGTTGTCTGATATACCCTCCAAGCCTTCTGCATGAAACCTTCTTCTTGGACTCTCCCATGGCTGCTGATGAACTGCTAGTACTAGTAGTACCACTGCTTAAGCTTATCTTCATGTTGTTTAAACTCTCTTTGATCTTTTGGAAATGGCAAAAGGGTGGAAATGCTGTTATTTTGTGAGATTGTTTGAAACGAGAGCAGATGGTAGGGCTTTTTATAGAGGGAGGGTGTGGTCCAGATTCTTGCATCTCAGCTTCCCAAAACAAAAATATGAACAATATAAAAAAAGACTCCATTTCTTTGTCTAGCTTTGAATATGACACGTAATCATATGCGGTATTTAGTGTGGGAATTACTAGCCCAAGACAATTGGTCGGCCATTGATGAAAAACTTGAAACTTTGAAGGATGGGAGAGGGCATGCATGTTTTCATGAATGTGATCTGATTTTTCGTTTTCCGATTTATATTTAGATTTCGTGATTATCTTAATATACTCATTATTTCTTTTATTGAGCTAAGAAAAATAAATTAAAGCTCAAAACTCTAGACATTGCAAAGGAATCTGAGTGACACTTGAAAGTAGAAAACACATAAATGAATGTAATTAAACTAAGAACACAGCATGCTAATCCCACGTGTTGTCTCGTGCTCCACACCCATATCACCAAAGCTGCTTCAGTGGCTTCACTTATACCATACTAAAGGGGATTAATCTATTATCCTGGAGTGTTTTAGATTCAACTCAGTTCTGAAAATGCTCAGGTTTGACCAAACATCTGCCTAAATTCAAGGAACTCTTGGTCCCTTTTAAATGTTGCTCACAGCTAGCTATTTGTATATTCCTTACATTTCAATGTTACACTCATCTGCCATGCATTCTTCAGTGATTGTCCTAAAGATATGTTGGGGCTAATCTATATGTCATATATATCACCATTTAAAATATATAACCATACTATTATTACATTTAAAATATATATCACCATTTAAAATATATCACCATACTATTATTACATTTTTTAATATAAAAGACTTACAAAAAATAGTCAACTCCAATAATTTAATTGTAAAATAAAGCATATTTAATAGTAATATGAATAAATTATATAAATTAATAAACCCTAACCCTGAACACTATCGATGATTGTTAAAAGGGACAAGACATTAGATAATTCAAGTCACAGTGAATGTTCAGATTGTTCTGTACATGATACTTAAAACTCTCACCATAACATTTGGTCCACGAAAATACAGATGAATTAAATATTTAAAATAAAATAATTAAATATAGGCATATAAATATCTTATCCATGTCACGTGTGGAAACTTTAGTTCTATCATCATGCAATTTTTCAGGTACACAGAACAGTATTACCAAACAATGGGGCCATGTTTTCGCCTTCCAGTTGTTGGTCCCTGCCATTATCTCTTTCTGGTAATAAAATAAACATGTCAGGTACAAAGAGGACCGGTCCGCACGTGACAATCCCGTGTGAGACATTGCCTTTGCCTTGCTCGTAGAAGACAACCAAGATTTTTGTTTTATCATTCTTTAATTTGGAGATCCTTCTTTGACTTTTTTTATTATTAACGTTAGGGTTAATCCATGTTTTTATGCCCTAAGATTGGATTATCGTATCTTTGTTTTGGTTTCTTTGAAGATGTTAATATTATCATAAACGATCTTAAAATATTTGGTTCAATGTATTAAGTTAGAATTTTTAAACAATCCTATTAAGTTATAAATTAATCAAATCAAATTAAATTAAACTATTATATTAATATATTATGCGTTTAATTTTATTAGTTTATATCAAATCATTACCTAACATTAAAAAAACCTAACTCACAGATAATTGTTAAAAAAATGGGTCAAATTGTATGAAAATTTTGTAAACAATTAAACATGTCAGATCAATTGGGCTTACATGTTTAAGGTTGTCAAAAGGATCCCACACGCCTGAGTTAATATCTTCAATAGTATAAATAATTATAAGATATAATATTGTGTTATGAATATCTTCAATAGAAGATTTTTTTTTGAAGAAACGTGATGGCAACATGCAAGATATGTTGCAAATTGTGGTGGGTAGGAGTGAAGTGTCCCACAAATTAGTTTTGACATAATGGGATTTTTAGTGGCTTCTCCATTGGTCTGAAATTAATGTTCCAAATGAAGAGCCAAAAATAATAGCTTTCATTTCATTCTTTTTCCACCTTTGTAAACATTCATTGAATGCCAAATTTGCTTTTGTTTCTTATAACGACAACTCCACCATGATACACATTCTTTCTCTTACATAGATTAATAAATTCCAAATGAAAAGTGAAACAATATGGTGTTTTTTTTAACTAATCACTGATATCTGATCTATTGACCGACTAATTCAGATCGGGTTTTGCAGAGGTCCATTATGAGGGCAATCCTCCCAACTCAGTTTGCTCCGTACACAAACGCAATGATTCGAACCCCTGACATTGCTTAGACGTTGCTTAAGGAATCTAGTGCCTCATCCAACTAAATCAATTGGTTGTTGGTGGTGTTTTCCTTTTATTAAAGAGTACAAGGTTGTTTGCACTGATTTAGATTTAAATATTTGATTAAGTGATGAGATAAATAAAATTCAATTTAATTTTTTAAATATTTTTTAATTCTAAATTATTTATGTGAATTTGAATTAACAGTTCAAAATTGTAATTAGAATTGAATTTGAATTCTAAAAGTTCAAATAAAAAACACTACATCAATTGAATATGTCACATGTATTATGTAGGTGAAAGAAAAACAACAGTAATCCAGCTTCATTTCATGTTTAATGTTGCACTATTATGTTCATAGTTCAAAAGTCTGTCGAGCTCCGAATATTCTATGCCTCCCATGATAGGTTTTATCTTTACTCGGACGTAAGCGGTTGAGGCTCGTTTACCGGAGTTTCTTGCTCCATGTTCATTAGGTGATCGGCGACAGAGAAGATAAACAACAATAGGGCATGCGACGCAAAGGGAAAGACGGGGTTTGGAAATAAAACATATTAAAAATGGTTAAATTGAAATTTTGTTCCTAAACTACTTCAAGTTTACAAAAAAGCACATGATTGGTATTTATCCAAAGTTTAAGGAATAAAATAAAAATTAAATCATTTTACTAACGTATCACTCCATTTAACTAACAATATTCAACATCTCATGACCATAACTTAATAAAACAATAACTTAAGTGATCAAAACTTAAGTTTTTTGAATTTGATGAGCAAAAGTATACAAATATAAAAGATAAGTGACCAACCAACCATAGCTGGACACGTGTCATATAATAACGAAAAAAAAGGCCAACACCATCACAGATCTTTCTTATTTACTCGCTTTCGGAGTGTACTTAAATAAATTACTCTTTCTTTTTCAAGATGGATCAATTTGTTCAAATTCAAAATTGAAAGGCACTTAAAGAATGTTTAAATCAAAATATTTAAGCCGACTAACTATAAATTTAAAGTTGACGGGACCAAAATATTCACTTTTCAAATGTGTGGGGACTAAAATGCCTTTTTCTATAGTAGAGGGACTAGAATGAACTTTTAGGTATAGTAAATGAGTTAAAATATTTCTTTTTAGATATAGTAGAGGGATTAAAATAAATTTTTAAATATAGTACTAGGACTTCTAATAGAAGTTAACCTATTAAGATTCACTATTGATAACATCATTCATCACTAGTTGGTGGATTTCGTCAGGGTATTCAACCATTTCAGTAAGCACTTAACAAGCTGATTTTGCAAGAGCATTCACAACCTCATTTTATTTTCTTCCAGTATACCGGACCACATTCAACCAATCTTTGCTTCAACCGTTTCATTTCCTCGACTACAAGTTCCATGCCGGAAATATCGTCCTCGTCGTCTTGTAACTTCTTAATCACTGAAATTGAGTCCCGTTCCAGGATAACTGCATGCATTCCCATCTAATTAGCCGGTACAATACCTTCCCATGCGGCAAGAGCGTCAGCTAGAGTTGCATCCAGTATATTTGACAATGGGATGGCAGCTGCCTCAACCACAACCCCCTTGATGTCTCTTATGACAACACCAATGCCTCCTCGATGAGTCCCTTTCAAAAGCTGCAGCCAAATTCATCTTTAGCAGATGAACTATGAAACAACAAGAAAACACAGATAAGGCTGAATAGCCTTAAGCTTGAATGGAGGAAAGAATCCATCGGCATGTAGATTAAAACTGCGAACTTGAAGTATAGGGAAATATTTAGCACAAAATAAGGACAAAATTATAACAGGAAAATCAAGGAGTATTCAGTGTAATTGAATTCTTGATAATGTCAGATGCTGCTGAATGAATTAGTATTGGAGAAATTTTCTCAAATGCATGGACATATTCCTGCATTTATCTGTAATAGTTTCTGGAAAAATAGTAACTTGACTTGAAGGTAAAGAAAGGTGGAGCAACACTAATAATTAGGTTAGTAATTACTAATTAGCATAGTAACAATGTTGACCGAACAACCCAAACTTGCACAGACCTCAACTCGGGATTTTCTTAAAATAAGAAATAATTCTTACAATGTTGACAGAACAATCCAAACTTGAAAACTTGACAGACCCATCGAATGTGTATGTCTGACTTTGGCCACTAATAAAATGATCTCTTAAAAATCGAGTTAATGTTTTGATAGTAACGTGTATTATGAGTGGTTTAGGTTACTACTTACTACATGCTATCCATGGCAAGGAAAAATGATAATTCCTTTATAGAACATGAAGAAAACATCCAATCTATAATGCACCTCTAGCATAACAGAAAATGCTGCAATAGCAGAATAGTTGTACCTTATTGCTCATTTTGGATCATAATTTAGGAAACACCAATGATGAATCTGCAAACTAAAAGACCTTGATTGATGAATTGTTGTGTGCTGCATGAGAACAGCCAGGACCCCTTATTAGTATAGTAAATAGCAAAATCTCTTGCAATCAAAACGAAGTGAAATGAAAAGAGTTTAAATTTGTTGTCAGGTGCTGTAAGGTTGCATAAATCATGTTACAGCATGGATGGCTCCTATCCTCTATAGAAAACACGAAGAGTCTGTTGTCTAGCTCAATCCAACTACAGCCTGGTTTCTTTTTCATTTCCATGTCCCTCAACTTCTGCCTCACCTCCAACTTTTCACCCCATTTCCCAAGTATTGCATATACATTTGATAGAATCACATATACAGATATAGTCTTTGGATTCATACTGAACAGCTTTTCTGCTACCCTCTCACCGACTTCCATGTCCATCCAGTACCAACAAGAATGGAGTAAAGCTCCCCAAATAACCTCATCGGCTTCAACTGGCATCTTTTTAATGAACTCCTCCGCTTCTTGCAGAAGACCTGCCCGACCAAGAAGATCAACCATACATGCATAGTGTTCTATAGTTGGGACCACACCGTAGCAATTTTCCATCAACCTGAACAATTTCATTCCTTCATTTACCAGACCAGCATGCGCACAGGCAGACAGAATTCCAACAAAAGTAGCACCATTAGGGACCACACCTTTCTCCAACATATGCTCAAAGAGTGAGATAGCTTGAGAGCCAAGCCCATGGTGTGCATACCCATTAATAATAGCTGTCCATGCTGCCACATTAAGTGAAGAGATGCTGGAAAATGATTTGTGAGCATCAATGATGCTGCCACATTTCGAGTACATATCTACGAGGGATGTTCCAACATAAACGTTAGATTGGAATGGTGTTTTGATCAAGTGTGCATGAAGTAATTGTCCTTGTTGAAGAGATCTCAGACATGAACATGCATGAAAGAGAACTGAGAATGTCGACCTTGTACACGCTATTTGTAATCTGCACATATTCAGGTACAGCATTAGAGCCTCTTTGTATTGCTCATTTTGAATATAACCAGACATCATTGAGTTCCACGTCACAGAGTTTCTTTTGCCCTGTGTTTCTTCAAACAGCTTCAAAGCTTTATCAATTTCCCCACTTCTGGAATATACAGAAATCATGGTGTTAGTAGAAACTATTGTTCTTTCAGATATCTCTTCAAATAATTGTTTCGAGTCTTCAACTCGACTGCAAGCAGCATATCCTTTAATCATCAGGTTATAAGAAACCAAATTTGTCTCAACTAGTCTATTGAAAACCAGTTCAGCATCTTCAATCTTACCCATTGATAAAAGCCCTCTAATAAGTGAGTTTGAAGCACTCAAACACGGATTTGTTTCTCCATCATAGATTCTCTTAGCATCAGCAATAGCTTCACAATCAGAATAAAATTCAATCAGTGCACCACCAATTAATTGATCAAATTCAAATCCATATTTGATCAAAATCCCGTGAACAAGCCTCCCTTCACATAAATCACCTAACCTGCTACAAGCCCTTATAACAGAATCCAACGTGAATTCATTAGGCATCACCTCACTACTCCCTCTCATCCACCAAAACAACTCCAAAGCCTTCTCGCATCCCTCTTCGCTCTTCACATATCCCGAAATCAAAGTAGTCCAAGCCACAACATCCCTTTTCGGCATCTTCATGAACGTATCGAGAGCCTCCCTCATCAAGCCACACTCAACATAACCCACAATCATCAAATTCCACAACAACTCATTTTTATCATGCAATTCGTGGAAAACTCGCTTCGCTTCTTCGATCTCGAAACAATTCGCATAAGAATACAACAAAGAACTTCCAACAAGCTCAAAACTCTCACACCCAGATTTAATAACCACACAATGAAGCTGTTTCCCGAGGCTTAAAGATTGCAGGCGACCACATAAGCTTAGTGCGGTGGAAAAAGTGGACTCATTAAACTTTACACCATCACTCCGATGCATGGATGAAAGTAAAGCAAGGGCTTCATTGAATTTCCACCACTTTGAGTAACCCGAAATCATGGTGTTCCATGACACAACGGTTCTTTTAGGCATTTCATCGAACATATTCCGCGCGATGTATAACTGCCCGCTCTTCACCAACTTATTTATGTAAATATTTGTAGAAATTATTTGAGGTGGCTGAGTTGAGTATAGTTTGTAGATATTATGCTTCCATTTTGCTGGGACAATGCATCTTAACGACATTATTATCGGTGTCACTTGTTTAAGGGGTTGTCCTACATAGTTCTCATTTGTGGTCAAACTTAGCTACCTCTCTTAAAAAAAACTACTCACACTTTTTTTGTAAAAAAGATTAATTATACACATGACCCATTTTAATTATGTAAAGTTTTTAATCTAACAGTCAATCTTTTAATTCTATCAATCAAATCACTTAATTATCTAAATAGTATCAGTCTAGTCGCCAATCATTAACATTTAACGAAAAATATGACATGACAGTTAAAAAGTTCAATATAATTATATATTTACACATTTTATCAATTTAGTTTTAATTTTAATTTATTTAATTAAATTAAAATTAGGATCCAATTATAGAATGTGTAAGTAATAAATAATAAATATATAATCATACTAATTTTTTTAACTATCACATTACATTATCTGTTAAATGTTAATAGATGATAATTTGATTGACATCATTTAAATAATTAAATGATCTAATAAACAAAACTAAAAGATTAATGATCAAATTAAAATCTCTTAAATAATAATATGTAATTTATCCTTAAAACGTGAATAAATAATTATTTTTAAATTAATACTGGTATTTAATCTATTAATTCAGATCAGCTATTGCAAATGTTCATTATGAGGATGACCCTCTAACCTAATTTACTTCATACGTGAATGTTAAAATTTAAACTCCTAATTTTACTTAAAAAATCTAATAGCTATCCCACTCTAAATAATCAGTCGTTGGTCAGTGAATAAATAGTTTTAATTGTACGTGAAGAGTAGGTTAAATTGACGAGATAATGTTGTGGGAAAAAATTCACGAGATAATGTGTTCTAACAATTAATTGCTGAGATAAGGTGTTTGCTACAGTTCGAACGTAGGTCACCAGTTGATCGGGCGACCAAGGAGATCGCCGTGTCGTCCCCGCATCCAACAATGAAGGTCGCCATGCAAGTCCCGCGAGAAAGCTCTGCGCTCCCTCATGCTGCAATAATTTAACGTGATTTGCAGCAACCCATGTTGTGTTTATTAGATTAAAAAAATTAAACTCAAATATTTTAACTAATAATAACATGTTGTGTTTATTGCTAGTTGATTTCAAAGAGGCGTGAACCACATGCAAATAGGAGCATGGCCCACTTGATTAACTAGAAAAATTATAGATAATTTTTTTAAATCATTTTATCTAATATGTTAATCGATTATATCGAATCGAATTTTAAATAGATCTATTATGTTTTTTTAATAGTATTTAAGTTCATTATTATAAATATTTAATGATTTGATATTTAATGATTTAGTAATGATTACTAATAATGATTTATTATTAATATTTAATAATTTGATACTAATGATTTAGTAATGATTAATACTAATGAAATTATAATAATTAATAATAATGATTACTAATAATTATTTAATAATAATTAAATAATTAAATATAATTTATTCAATTTAAATCGATAGTAATCACCATCATGATAGATATCATCATCTTCTACCTCTTTCATTGCCTTCAACATACCACGAATTTATAAAAGTTTTCAGTAATAATCAAAATATTTTAAGATTTAGGGTTATTAATCTTGTATCAAGGGTTTAGGGTTTCTAATAATAACTAAAGTATTTTAGGGTTTAGGTTTCACAAAATCAATAGTTTTATGTTATTTATATTTAATCAATACAATTACCTGTTATCTTGTTAGAATGAAACTGATTTTTTCATAGTTTTACTGTTATATTGTTATGTATCGATACATGTTTATAAAATATCAATATTTTATAGGCGTCAGTTTTGCTTTTCTTTTATAAAGCATTTGAGGTTATGTTAAATATTATTAAAACTTAAATATTATAATATTAAATATGCATGTCTCTACGTTAAATGTAAAAAGAATAAATTCGACTATTTATAACTATAAATTCGACTTGTTATAAGTTCAACTATTTATAAATTCGATTTAAATTGAATAAATTCTATTTAAATATTTAATTATTATTAAATAATTATTAGTAATCATTATTAGTAATTATTATAATTTCATTATTACTAATCATTACTAAATATTTAGTATCAAATCATTAAATATTAATAATAAATCATTATTAGTAATCATTACTAAATCATATCATTACTAAATCATTAATTATCAAATCATTGAATATTAATAATAATGAACTTAAATATTATTAAGAAAACATAATAGATCTATTTAAAATTCGATTCGATATAATTTATTAACATATTAGATAAAATGATTAAAAAAGTACCTATAATTCCTCTAGTTAATCGAGTGGGTCATGCTCCTATTTGCACGTGGTTCACGCCTCTTTGAAATCAACTAGCAACAAACACAACATGTTATTATTAGTTAAAATATTTGAGTTTAATTTTTTTAATCCAATAAACACAACATTAGCTGCTGCAAATCATGTTAAATTATAACATCAATTATTGTTGCATGAATGAGGGGAGAGGCTGCTGCAAATCACGTTAAATTATTGCAGCATGAGGGAGCGCAGAGCTTTGTGCGGGGCTTGCATGGCGACCTTCATTGTTGGACGCGGGGACGACATGGCGACCAAGGGATCACCTGGCGACCTACGTTTCGAACTGTAGCAAACACCCTATCTCAGCAATTAATTGTTGAAACACATTATCTCGTGAAGTTTTTTTCCCACAACATTATCTCGTCAATTTAGCCTGAAGAGTACGTATCGATAACATCGATTATATAATGAAATAATTTGTAAAGGTTCTTTATTATTTGAATCTTATAGATTAACATTTGAATTATATTGGTGTAATTGTTTAACACACATTAATGAGGATTTTTGTACACATAATATGTATATAAATACTTGTCATCAAAATAATAAGGGTAAATTATGTGTTTAATACTTAGATTATCAGTTTCGATCTGTTTTAATATTTAAATTTTTAATTTTTTTCAAAATCATACCTAACATTTAGTTTTTGTTTCATTTTAGTACATCGTTGTTAAAAACTTAACATCATTGTATTTTTTACAAGTAAATTACATAATTCATCCCTCAACTATCTTCTCACTCCTATTTTGATATTAAAGTTTAAAAATTTTCAATTTAACTACTTAACTTTCAAATTGCTCCTATTTTTTTATTTTGGTGACATGATATTTTATTAATATATAATTAAAAATAAAAATATTTAAAAGTTAGAACGATTAAATTAGAGGAATTTAAAAGCTAAGTAATTAAATAAAAAGTTTAAATTTTAGTGACCAAAATAGGAGTGAGAAGATAGTTAGGTGATGAATGATGCAATTTATCTATAAAAAGATGTCACGCCCAAATTACTCGTGTTAAGTTTTTAATAAGGAGATACTAAAACGAAACAAAAACTAAACGTTAAATATAATTTTGAAAAAAATTAAATATTTAATTACTAAAATAGATCAAAACTGATAGTTCAAGTAATAAACGTTACCCCAAATAATAATTATAAAATATAATTATATTATAATTTAAAATATATTTAAATTTAAAGTGAATTTTTAGAAAGGAATTTATTTAATTCAAGTTTTGGACAGAAAATTGGGTTTGACGGTGAACGCTCATTTTGCACATTCTCTTTGGGCCGCGCTATTTCTTTCGTCCCCGTCCACACTCTAAATCTTTTAAATAATAAAGGTAAGCTATTATAAAAATAGAGAAACCCTCGTCATTTCTTGCCCTACTCACTCCCCTCTCTAATATACCTTATTTTCCTCTCTTATTTTCTCATAACCATCAACGCTATCGAAAAAAAAGAGGTACGTTAGTTCGGACATATTCTATCTATTAGTTATTTTTTATGGATACACGTAGTTTATTTATTTGTTTTGATTGATGAATTGTGTGGTTTACTAGTTTTTCTTAGATTTAACTTTTTGTGGTTTTATTTGGATCTGTTTGAGGTTTGAGCTTCTTTTTGCTTGATTTGACTAATCAGTGACTTATTCTTAGATTTGATCTGTTGGATTCCTAGAAATCGGGAAATTTTGGTTACTGAGAAAATCTTTGTTCTGACCCAGTGTTTTACTGCTCACTTGAAGTATAAAAAATTACTAACCAAAGAAGGTTTGAATTCGATCTGCTTGGTTACCTAGAAACTGTTGAAAAGCGAAGGACGGGAGCAAGTGCTAATGGTTTACCTTCCTCGGAGCTTGGATATTTTTTGGTTAATAATTATATTTTAGGCTGTACCTGTTTTTAGTTGATCGTAAATTCAAAATTTTGGAAGAAAGGAATAACTTTAAGTTTACGGCGATGTTTTAGGGTACATGAATGATAATGTTTCCAATGCTTGTTCACGATTTCGATGCACTTGTTTAGAACCAACGAGATTTGTTAGAAATGTTTGTTTGGTAAATGTAAATTTTTGGTATTGCAGGATCGGGTCTTCTTAGATTGATAGAGTAAAGATGTCGACTGAGTCATCTCGAGAGGAAAATGTTTACATGGCGAAGTTAGCTGAGCAGGCCGAGCGCTATGAGGAGATGGTTGAGTTCATGGAAAAAATTGCAAAAACTGTCGACGTGGAGCCGACTGTCGAGGAAAGGAACCTTCTCTCCGTGGCTTACAAAAATGTGATTGGGGTTAGGAGGGCTTCGTGGAGGATCATCTCTTCAATTGAGCAGAAGGAAGAGAGCAGAGGAAATGAGGATCATGTTGCAACCATCAAGGAGTATAGAGCCAAGATTGAAGCTGAGCTTAGCAAGATCTGTGATGGGATTTTGAGCCTTCTCGAGTCTCACCTCGTTCCTTCAGCTTCATCAGCTGAATCCAAGGTGTTTTACCTTAAAATGAAGGGTGATTATCACAGGTATCTTGCTGAGTTTAAGACTGGTGCTGAGAGGAAGGAAGCTGCTGAGAGCACTTTGTTGGCTTACAAGTCTGCTCAGGTAGGAGAAATTGGTAATGCCATGTTGTGAATGTGTTATTTTCTCTATAATTTCTTGAGCATCCTCTGATAGAAGTTCATAGCTTCTTTTTTCTTTTTCTTTTTTTTATGATGGCAGGATATTGCTCTTGGTGAACTAGCACCGACTCACCCAATTAGGCTGGGACTTGCTCTTAACTTTTCTGTTTTCTACTATGAAATCCTAAACTCACCTGATCGTGCTTGCAATCTCGCTAAACAGGTGTTTATTCTCTTCTAATTTATATTGGTTTCTTGTGTATTTTTGTCTCTATCGAGTTATAACAGATATTGAACCAGATTATGCTGTTTTAGTTGGCTGTTTATTAAACTTCTCTTGCTATGTAGTCTCATCTGTTTATTGAACTTTTCTTTCTATAGTTCCATCTGTTTATTAAACTTCTCTTGCATAGTCCCATCTGTTCATTAAACTTCTTTTGCTATAGTTCCATCTGTTTTAGTTGGCTGTTTATTAATCATGCTCCTACTTGATACACTTCTGATGCATCTCTGAGTATATCTATGAGAATTACTGGTCTGAGAACCTTTTAACTCCTGAATATATTTTATGAATCTGATTGATACTTGTGATGGTATCAAAACTGAGCTTAAAAGAAGTTCGAAGGAGTGACGATATCTCCACACTTCCTCACCATAAAATGTGTTGCTTTATAGCATGGAGTGAGTCCACAAGATAACATGTTGATGATTGCTTTCTGTATTTCTTAAAACGTTATACATTTTGTTGAGGTTTGTTAATTTTTACCCTTTATATACAAGGTGGAGATTTTAGATTGATCTTATGTGAAAATCCGGAAATATTTTCGGATAAATGACATGTTCTTCATTTGGCAGGCTTTTGATGAGGCTATTTCTGAGTTGGATACATTGGGTGAGGATTCATACAAGGATAGTACATTGATCATGCAACTTCTTCGGGACAACCTGACTCTTTGGACATCCGACATCACGGTCTCTCTCTCTCTTTCTTGATCAAGTAGCTTTCTACCATGGCCTCTTAAACTTTCTGCTTTATTTACTGTATTAAAAATGCTGTGTATAAAGCCAACGGGCCAACACAGGTTACATTCATTCCCAATTTTTTTGGGGCAAACTTGGGATGTCGGATTACTTTCTGACGTAACTTTTGATAAAAGTTGCACATTGCTAGTTGATTTGCATTTTGCTTGAATGCGGTGTTCCATGATTGATGCTTGTATTGTTTGATTTAGGACGAAGCCGGAGACGAGATCAAGGAAGCTTCCAAACCCGAGTCAGGCGAGGGACAGCAGTGATGATGAGTAAAGTTCGTATGACATGTACTCTGTATTCTGTTATTTATGTCGTAGATTTTACTTTTTACATAGATGAAATGCGAGTTGTTGTAGAAGAAGGTTCCTTTTTTATACATTAATCGGCACTTGGAGTTGAAATGATCCCTTCAAAGGGGACTATAGTCATCGTTATTATTGGACAAGAATTTGGTTTTTGTTTGGTTTTCATGTTGCAATGCTAGAATCGAGTTAGTAAATGTTTTTCCAGTCCTGTTTTAAATGTCGCATTTCTGTTCCGGCATTTACCAAATGATTTTATTCATTGCACAAGAATTTGGTTTTGTTTGGATAATGTATTAACCTAGGTTAAAAACTATGGAAAATACTTTTTGATAAAAGTAAAGTGACATGCGACTATCACCACAAATTTTATTATTTTTAACTATTAATCTAAGTTATATGTTTTATTTATTTTACAATCTAAAACTATATAAAATTTGAAAAATAATATTATATAAAAATTCTCGTCTTCATATTTAAATTATTATATATTAAATTCTCATCCATAAGATTCGTAATTTTTGTTACAGTTAGTTTTGATGAAGTGGTCGAAAAGCAATTAAAAATACAAAATTAATATTAATTGTTTTTGGCGGTTAGGATTAGAACGGAAAAGCAGTGGAGTGATCAGAAATCAGATATATTAATAATAACATACAAATAAAATTAGTTGACCTATTCTCATAGGTAATGAGGTAAGGGGAGGTATGGTAGTAGGTTGTCTCCAACGTCAGGTTAAGAGCAACTTTCGTGAAAGACCTCCGTTATAAGTTTCCTCAGTGAAATACCTCCGTTATAAGTTCCTTCAGTGGGACTCGATCGCACGACTACAACGTTAAGAGTCTTGTACTCTACCAACTGAGTTAGATGGACAATAAGGCTATGAGCAGTGTGTTGTATTTAGGGTTTTAAATAAAAATAACATTGAGTTATGTTTATTTATATTTGTTTATCAAATATTTTATCGACATTTAATACTCATTTAATCCATCCTTTTTAAAAGTTATTTCTAATTAGATTAATGATTGATTATTTTATATTAATTTTTCATCGAATCCACTAAGATAAATCAACACTTTATTACCTATTTATGTAAAACAAGATGGTTAAACTTTAGATAGATGATACGATTAAATTCGATAGAAGTCAATTCTTATAATTTTATAACATTTTTATCCCAAAAAAAATATCTTTTACAACCTTTAGTAAAGAAAATAAAATGAAAAATTCTCTCAAAAACCCTAACGCCATCACTCAAAAATCTTAATGTTACTTCTTTTCTTTTTTATTATAAACGGTAGTTTATATTTTATATTTTTATATTATATTATATTTTTCTTTTTCTTTTGTTTATTTAATTTATAATAAATATATCTTTATAACGTGTTTTTTCTCTATCTTGATTACACGTTTTTCTTTGTTTTATGATATTTTTTTATCGTTTGGTTGTTGTTTTAGTTTATCTTTTCTTTCTCAAGATTGAATTTAATATATCAACAACTAATCAAAATGAAGTTTATTTGTTATTGTGTTGATCTCCACTATTTCGGACACTCGAATTAGACAAAAGCACGTGACTAAATTGTTCTCATAATTGAGGGGCAATTATATTTTACAACGGCAATGTTTAATTGCCCATGAAAATGACTTTCAAATACAAATAATGTATACAAATTGAACCCTATTGCACGTTTCTATTTCCTCGGAATCATCCTGCCCTCGAAAAGCTCTTGCGCCGTCATCTGATGACGGACGATTCATCAAGAAGTCCCGTAGGATAGGTGATAAACCCCCAGATGACCCTACCGATGCAATGGATACCAGCGGCAGTGGCAATATTGTTGTACCTACTACTTAAAACTCGATAAACCCTGAAACAACTGGCCCGAAGGGGATTACGAACGCTTTAATCCCTGCAAAGACAGAACTCCCTGTTTAGTCATATAAGGAAACCCTGATGAAAGACGCATCTAATCAGCCACACTCGGAAGAGCCTATTATTGATGATGAGGAAATTGAGTTGTTCGAGGGAGATATTGTCCGTTTAGTTATTGATGGCATTATCTCCATCGACTTTTCCTCCCGCGTTCAAGAATTGACAGCCAAGAGCCTGGACCAAATGGTGGTGGCAAAACTTTTGGGAAGGAAAATCGGATATACAACGCTACGTAACAAAATTTACGAGCTTTGGAAGCCCTCCCAACCGGTTCGTGTAATGAATATTGAGGATGATTATTTCTTGATCACCTTTCGAACGCAGTCCAATTTCTTGAAAGCTATATCCGAAGGACCATGGATGATATTCAGCCGCTACTTGATTGTTAAGCCTTGGACGATCGACTTTTTCACTGCTTAACCACATCCTATGAAAACCACATTTTTGGATCCGATCCAGCCACCCCTTTATAAGTGTAACCCCCTGACTGAAATCGACAAATGCATTGGATCGGTAATCAAAATTGCTTTCAAACTGAGAATGGTCGTAGAGGTCGCTTCGCTCAAATGGATGTTCGAATCGACTTTAGCAAACCCCTCATCTCTAAAATCTTGATCAATGGTCGTGTTCAATCCATTGAATATGAAGCTCTCCTTACCATTTGTTTCGAGTGTGGTAAATATGGTCACGTCAAAGACATATGCCCATTGATCACTCCGTCTTCGCAACCCACCCCAATTCTCGAGAATGTCACTCCGACCCCGACCCTAGAAATCTCTTCTTTTGGCTCATGGATGATAGCGAAACACAAATAACACACCAACAGTATCATTTCCACAAAAAGTGGAAAAAATGCAAGACCAACTTAGCGGTGAAGGAAAATTATGGAATCATGCATGAATAACTAATAATGCAGATAAAAAGAGCCTAAATCTAGCAATAATTATGAGAGAAAAATGATAGAAAATATAGTACTTTTATACACTTAATAGGTCTTATCTGGTGATTTTAATGACACTCTCCATTCTTCAGACCGGAAGGGTTGTGCTAATTCCTCTCGGCCTAGTAAAGCTTTTTAGAACTTCATGGTTGATTATGGTCTCCGGGATCTAGGATTCCAAGGGCTTGATTTTACATGGAACCGAGGTTTACTTTATGCCAGGCTGGATCATTTCATTTGTAATTTCCTTTGGGACGAAAATTTCCCCGACACATTTGTGACTCACCTGCTTCGTATCTGATCTGATCATAGGTCTATCTTGTTGTGTAGAGAAAATCATCCTCCCAGAACTCCAGCTCGACAATTTCGTTACTTTACTGGATGGCTATCCCATGAAGATTTTGGTATAATGGTCTCTGATAACTAGAAACCTATTTCAAGCCTATCATAAACTATCTCAAAATTTTCAGTTGTGACAGACAACTGGAATTCCTCTGTTTATGGTTACATTGACACAAAAAAAGCATGGTGATCTCTCGTCTTCGAGGTACCCAGAAAGCTCTAGGGCGCCGAAATAGGGCCTCTCCTAGAAATCTTGAATTAGAGTTACAAACTGAATTAGAAGCCCTGCTTGATCAAGAGGAGCTTTTGTGGAAACAGATATCCCGATCGGATTGGATTGCCCATGGTGACAGAAATTCAAAATATTTTCACCAAAAATATAAGATCTGAAAGAGCAGGAATCGAATCTCCTCTCTAAAACTTTTCAATAACGAATGGTTCTTTTCTTCCGAAACCTCTATGCAAACCCCGATACTCATCGGGTCCCTTATTCCCTCTCAAGGCTTTTCCATCTCTGTCTGATCTTAATCGAGCCACCCTAGAAGCATCCCCTGTGGAATCAGAAATAAAGACTGCTCTTTTCGAGATGGCCCCTCTTAAATCTCCTGGACCTGATAGACTCCATGTAGAGTTCTTCCAAAAACAATGACATGTAGTGTGATCTGATGTTTGTTGTTTGGTTACTTCTGTCTTTCAAGGTAATCCCATCGAAGCTTCTCTTTGTCGAACCACACTTGTTCTCATCCCAAAGTTTGATTCTCCCCAATCGATAACAGACTTCCGCCCTATCAGTCTTTGCTCTGTTTTGTACAAGCTCGTCACAAAAATCATTGTCAGAAGACTCAAGCCGATTATGCCTCGCCTCATCCAACCGACTCAGACCAGTTTCATTTCGGGACGATTGATTATAGAAAATATTATTCTTAATCAAGATATTGTTCATTCCATGCGTAACAAAAAAATGAAGCAGGGGTGGATGGCTATCAAGAACGACCTTGAAAAGACCTTTGACAGAGTGAAATGGGATTCCATCCGAGACACGCTTGTGGATGCTAGGCTCCCTAATTCCCTTATTCAAATTATTATGCGCTGTGTATCCTCTTCCATCATGTAGATTCAACGGACTGGTCTTTTATGGATTCCTTTCGACCTGAAAAGGGTATTCGTCAGGGTGATCCCCTTTCTTCGTACATCTTCGTCCTTATCATGGAATGCCTCGAACAATGGATAAACAACCTGGGTCACTTCTGGAACCTGATCGCCTTTCTTTTTAGCAAGGAATGGTACACCTCTGTCTCACTTGTTTTTTTGCAGATGATCTCATCATTTATAGTAAAGCAGACTTGGCCCAAGCTCGCCTTATTGCTTCCACCTTAGTTGACTTTGGTGCTTCTTCGGGGCACAAAGTTAACTCTAGGAAAACGAGCATTTATTTCTCCCCAAACACAGCCTTCTTTTAAGCAATCTATATGCTCTTTCTTGGGGTTTCAGCAAGTTGAGTCGCTCGGAAAATATTTGGGGGTGCCGGTTCTTCATGCAAGACTTCGTTGTTCCGACTTTGACTTTATCTTGGATAAGATGAAAGTAAGGCTAAATGGGTGGTCTGCCAAATTGCTTTCCTTGGCAGGCAGGATCACTCTTGTTAAAGCAGTTTTGGTGGCAATACTAATTTATTTCATGCAGACTACTCGCCTCTCGATTGGCATCTGTAATGAGATGGATACAATCATCTGACAGTTTATTTGGGGCTCTTCCTCTGAGGGATGCAATATTTCCCTTGTTAAGTGGTCGACTCTCTGCCAATCGATACGGAGAGGCGGTTTGGGTATTCACAGGACATATGAACACAACACGACCTTCATGTGGAAAATATGTCATGCTTTGATCTCTCGTCCCAATGATTATTAGAT